AGAGATCCATGATGAACTTTTTACGTAAAAACATGTTGGACATTTGCTAGTTGCTACTTGAGAACGCAATAACTTAATAATACGAGAAAAAAAAAAAAAAAAAAAAGGGAAAGTCACTCTAGAGTCAATACGGGCCGGCTGTTTTTTAGTTTTATAGTTTTTTATTAAATTTTATGCAAACCACCAACAAAATCAAGATGGGCTGCTGCTATTAAATATTTTAAAATTCAAGGCTCCGCAGCCTCTTGTTCAACAATGGACTGCTTGTCTTGCGATTTGATGATATTATTCTATTTTACATTTTATTATTTCTTCAAAACTTCAAAATAGTTGGGATAGTTGTAAAAGGTACAAACATCACTAATAATTTTATTCTATTAAAAGATATTTAGAACTCTAATTGTAAATTATGTATCTAACTTAACCATTTATCATGTAAAACATCATATATTTTTTTTGAGTGAATACACGTTTTTTATATTGTCCACACGCAATCATGGATTCACGTTAAAAGCATGTGACCATCAGAACTCTAATGAACACGTCCATAATGCCACTCACTACCATGGCTATTTGAATCTAAGGATTTTGAAAAAGGAGTGGATCGAAACCGAATATATAAAATAACAAAAATAGAAACTACTATGATCTAGAGACTAGAGCGGTTCGACTATGGTTTACAATCGTTCAACCCCTTACCATGAATTGATATAAACTTACAGTTTCAAATACAAAAAAAATACAATTGTTAAAAAGATGCCATATCAAATACAATTGTTTTATAATAAAGAACAGTTGGGGTCTGTTTAATCTCAATTGTGATTGCTTAAAAGAAAGACCAATTTGGGCATTTGTGCCAAACTAAGAGCCGACTTTTAAAGGGCTTTAAAAATGGGAATCGAACAGGAAATGGACTTTTCAAAAACTCTTAAAACATGCTTAAAAGAAAGACCAATCCAGGCATGGTTAGCTGGTTTGGTCAAATCCATATTAGATATGTGATAATGGGTGAGCGTACTAAAAATTTAACAACGTGCACCCATGCATTACCGCACACAGGGCACAATGTGATATATGACACTACGGTGCCTCGGGTGAACACCGCCTTTTGTTTTCTTTACTTTTTCCCAACCACAATGAGAAATCAATGAATCTTATACCTGACCTCTTTTTTTTTGGTTTGCTTTTCTTATTTATACAATACAAGAGCCTTTAACATATAAAAAGTGATAGAGGATCATTTTCTAGATGAAAGGGGAAGTGATGGAGGAACGCGACTACACTGAAAAACAAAAAGTAGGAGGTGTGGAGAAACAACACCAATAGAAGGATAGCCTAATAGACACGTATGAGTATATTTGGTAAGAATAGTTGAAAGTTTAGATTTTATTTGGACTTGAAAGTTATTTTTTATTTATTTATTTAGAAGTGTTTGGTAACAATAGATATAAAATTTATTAAATTTTAAAATATGTAAAACTATCTAAACTGACATCTTAATAGAAAAAAAAAACAATATCTTTATTCTTTAAGCATAAATAATATTGTTTTAATAGAGTTTATTTAAATGTATTTGAACTAGGAATATTTTGTTTTAAACTAAAAACTTTAAGTTCATTCCCCCCACACGATGATTTCAACCTTTTTTTTTTTAGAAAAACTAAAAACTAAGTTCCTAAAAACTATCAAATATTCTTTAGGTGCATTTGGTTGACAGGAAAGAAATGAAATTCGAGGGAAAATGATTTCAATTCCTTCAAATTCATGCGTTTGGTTGGACTTTGAGAAGGGAAAAGGATTCCTAAATGAAATAAATTTTCTACCATATGGAGGAAAATGAATTTCTTCCCAAGTTGGATAGAAAACATTCATTCTCATTTAGGAAAGTGGCAGATTACAAAAATGTCCCTTGTACTTATCAGAAAACCCACCACCACTATCACAGATCACCACCACCATTGCCACCATCACCACCATTGTTGCCGCCCCACCGACTACCACCACCACCATCACTGCTGCCACAACCACTGCCACCATCGTTGTTGCCACCACCGCAACCACTGCCACCGACCACCATTACCACCGTCATAACCACCACCCACCACTACTGCTGTCGCCGCCACCACTAACTACCATCATCGTTGTTACCACCATTGCCACCACCACCGACCACCATCGCCGCCACTATTGTCGCCGCCACCACCATGACCATTACCCACCACCACTTCCATTGTTATCACCCACCACCATCGCCGCTGCCACCACCACCACTAATAACACTACCACCACCACAACTACCAACACTACCACCATCACCGCTACCACCACCACAGCCACCAGCCGTCGCTACTACTACCAGCACCATCACTGTCATTGCTATCGCCACAGCTGACACTGCTACCATCACCATCACTTCCGCCACCATAATTAATGTCACCGCCACCATCACCACCACTGTTACAGCCACCCACCACTGCCCCCACCACCACTGCCACCACCACCGAAATTCTACTGTTTTTATAATTTTCATAATGTATTTTTACATATAAGTTAGAAAACAATATAAAATTAAGCAAAACATGCAAAAATGATAATAAAGGCATTTTACATGAATTATAATTTTATTTCCTGCAAACCAAATAGATTCTGGAATTAATTCAAATTTCATTTCCTACCAACCAAACAACATATGAAATTTGATTTAAATTCCTGACATATTCCTTTTCTAATTCCAATTCAAATTCATTCGGTAACATTTTGCGAACCGAACAACACCTCTAAAACCATTGTTAAACACATCATATTCTGTTAAAAATTTGGAATTAATTAAAGTATTAAAGGTTCTTTGTATAAAATCACATACTAACTAATTATATTCTGTTAAAAATTTGGAATTAATGAAAGTATCAAAGCTTCTCTGTATAAAATCACATGCAAACTAATTTTTGGTACCTTAAAAGATAATTGTATCAAGTTTCAAATCTCACTACTCCCGTTACAGATTTTCAATATGGTCAAAGATGGACGTACAATTTTATAGTAGAAGTCTCAAAGAAAACATTAGTAGTGTCACAATAGTAAAACAAAAATCAAAATTTTTTACATTGCATCCAAAATAACCCAGAAGTTCCACTGGGGCACCATAATAAAACTGCCAATAATTATGGTAAAATGTGTGTTGAAGAAATCATTATTTTTTGAAAGTAACTACTAATATTGTTTTTTAGTCGGGTTAATCGTGTAAAAACATTATATTTTCATTTTTTTTTTTCTATTTAATGTTTTAAATCTATTTTTTATTTCAAAAAACCCTTACATTTTTCGTTTCTTATTTGGCTATTTTTACCAAGTTTATTGACAATCTTTCAAATTTACATAATTTTTTTCAAAAAAAAAAATAAATAAATAAAATTGGAAAGGGATATGTACACTAAAATCCAAATATTTTTCATCGATTTGACAAAAAAGTTTTAAACTTTATTTTTTTAACAGTAAAGTTTTAATTACCGACAATTTTTGATACATTTATCACTTTTTTCTAGTTAATCGGTAATTAGAACTTTATTCTCAAAAAAATAAAAAATAAAAAAAAATTTAGGATTTTCTTGTCAAATCGTGAATTAAAACTTTATTGTAAAAAAAAAAAAAAAGTTTAGGACTTTTTTTTGTCAATTGTTGAAAATATTAAGACTTTATTGTATATATCCTTTTCTCTAGACTATCATACCATTTAATTTCCGAATATTTTCAATAATTTGACAAGAAAATCATAAACTTTACTTTTTAACAGTAATATCCTAATTAACGATTTGACAAGAAAATCGTAAACTTTTTTTTTTATACAATAAAATCCTAATTACCGGCTAACTCGAAAAAATAGTAAATGTATCAAAAATTGTTGGTAATTAAGATTTTACTGTTAAAAAAAACTAAAGTTTAGAACTTTATTGTCAAATCGATGAAAATATTAGAACTTAGTATATATATCCCTTTTGGAAAACTCTCACATTTGAGAAACTTTTTCTTTCTTAGCATCTTTTTCGTTTTGGTTCATGACTTTCCTTTTTTTTTTTTTTGTCATTGTTGTTGTTTATGATGTTTTTAGTGAATTTTCAATAGTAAATTCTGAAAGAAATATTAATTTCTTTAGAAAACAAATAGAAAGTTTGTTGTGTCTAATTCTAAACTTCAATCTATATTTGGAATCTAATTTCAGCTTTTATGTTTTCCCTACAAAAAATATTTGTAATCTCAAAGAATCATAATATATTCCTATAAGATTCATTTCCCAAATCAATAGTGATAAGAGTCTACAAATATTATAAAACATAATCTAAGATCTCAAGTTGTTTGTCACCTACTAGCTGCTACCTATGAACATCCTTCAAATTTCAAATTTTTTGTATTTATTTTTCTAACAAGAATTGGACACAACAATCTTTCTTTATTTTATTCGGATTTTAATCTTGAAAATCATTAAGAATATCTTAAAAATGAACAATAATGGAAAAGAGGGGTACCATAAATCAAAACAAAAAAATTGATACAAAAGGAAAATTTTGTCAAATATAAGAGTTTCTCATAAAGAAATTTTTTTAGGGCTTCTTCGAGAAAAAAAAAACGATTTTTCTGGGAAAAAGATTCTATAAAAACGTAAAATTACCGATAAACCTGTTAAAATAGTCAAATCACGAAAACAAATGTAAGTTTTTTCTAAAATTAAAAAAATAAATAAATAAATAAAACAAAAAATCCCAAAATATAAGATTTTACACAATTAACCCATTTTATTCTTTAGGATCAAAATAGTCAAATTAGAGAATCATGTAAATAGTTACTTATAAAGATTATTGAATTAAATGAAAATTTATATAAGCATCTCTAACTTTAAACACCTAATATTTGATTATCTTATTTTTCAAACCTAAACAACCTTGTATATATCATGTTCTTTGTTTTTTCGTGGTTCATTATATTGATCTCGTTTCCATTTGAACTTTATAGATAATAATTAATTTGTCAAATATTAATATAACCGTTTAATAAAAATAATTTAAAAACTGCCATGCATTTTAACACATTAACCCTTCTGACCCATTCTAATCAAGTCTCTTTATGTTTACACAACTACCATATTAGTGAAGTATAACTCAAATCAATGATGTTACCTATAAGTATATTACAATTGACACTTCTTTTACATGATGGATGCTCCAAGATTTTATGAAAACCTTGACAAAAGTAACTGCTTCCACTTAACTATGAGTGCAAAGATGCCAAATACAGGGACGTGGATTAACCCCAATCCAAAATACCTGCGGTGAATCAATTGACACTTCTTTTAAATCATTGTAAGGGCAATTTCGTCTTTTCAGTTGAGCGAAGGATCAAAGTCACAAGCAAACTATCTCAAAAGGACCACCAATCCAAAAAAGTCGTCCCAAAAAAATACATACCATAGGGACCATTTTTGCAGTTTTGTCATTTGTATATAAATGTTCAATTGTAATCTTTTGTATGGTATAAAATGATATAAATTATAAATGCTGAAAACTTGCTTAAAGCTATTTGAAGTGGATTTTGCATTTGGAGGTAGGATATAATTACAAAAAAAAGTATTTTATTATAATAATAATCTAACTTTTTGAATAAAACGGTTTCAAAAACTGTATTGACTCTAGCTCACTTTTGACAAATTTTTTTCCCTGCTTTTAACTAAAATTTTATTTTAAGTATTAAACATAACTCAAATCAACTTATTTGCAGAATAGAATATTATATACCAGATGTGAGCATATGAAGATGATAAGTCAAGGAAGGGATATGGCCACCTGTAATAACAATAAACAAGGTCAATTTTCTTTATATATTAAGTCAAAAAGATACATCTCCTTATACTAACTGTTTTTTTTTTTTTTTTAAAAACCATTAAGTCCATGGGTAAAGTGGCTGAATGGATAACGATGTCTGTGTGGGTAAAGTGTTGTATACATAAAGTGTGTTTCTTTTCCGCACCGAATAAACCATCTAAATGAAACCAAATGACCATTTTACCCTCACATTCCAACAAACAGTATTCATCAATTTCACGCTTACCTCATTGAAACACAAGCATGGAAAATCCACTGAAAGATGACAAACGAACATGTCCACAGACCAAAGTATGCTAAACGGAAGAATGGAAACCTCTGATAAACAACGCCCTTGTTACTTTTTCATTAATTTCTTTATTATAGCATCCTACTTTCATTTTTTTTCTTATTAGAACAAATTGTACTTTATAAAATCTACCAATTTCATCCAAATACAAACCAATTTTTTTCATTGATAAAATTAATTAAAGTTTTCAACAAATAGGATCTACATAAGAAAAAAAAAATCAAAGTACAATGCTAAAATTGGGTAAATTTTTAAAAGTATAATGACTTAATAAGAAAAAAAAAGTTGAAAGTACAATGTTGTAATAGAAAGAAATGAAAGTAGGATGCTATAATACAGATATAAACAAAACTGATTAAAAGTGGTCCATGAATAATTTGCAACTTACTAAGCGATTTAGAATCACATCAATGAGGAGGAGAACAACGTTAATCGAATGCAAGCAAACATTTAACTGTAACAAACAATTATTCAAAACAATATATAGAAATCAATCTATAAGCTTTACACCAAAAGTGAAAGAGTAAAAAGCTTACAAAATTCAATTTGTAAGTTGCAGGAGCAAGAAATGGATAGATTATAAACCAAAATACACCATCAGTGAGCCCCACAGCACCTCCACATATCTGTGCTTATAAAGATTAAAGAGAGAAAGTGAGAAATGAATTTCACAAATAAACAAACATAAAAATAACATTTTTATTTTGAAAACATGCCTGGAAGACAATTTGGCATGAATAAGCCCATATGCCAGCTGTCTTGTGTGTACTAATATCTCCATGGTTACTCAGTTTCATGGACATATGTTGAGGTTCCACACTCACTTGTATTAAAGAATCCTCTAAACCCACATCATTCATATTATCATCAACAACTTCATTCCAATATTGGCAACACCCATAAATGGAAAGTGAAGACGCAAGCTACACATGAAATGTGGATATTATAGCAATATAGTTTTTAATAAAATGATTAATATAATTGGCAACATTACATACCCCAAAATAGAAAGTGACCAAAACAAAAGTCCACCTACAAATCACCAAAAGAAAACAAGATATCCATGAAATCTAACATGTGTAATAAACTTAATTTGGATAAACAATGAAAGGGATAAGAGTTTGAAGTAATAAACTTACTGAGTGTAAAAGAAAAGTACTCTAGCTCCACCAATTACCAGATTAGAAATGATCAAAGCCAATAGTACACCAAAAGCAATTAATCTATAAGCAAGAAGCCAAGCAGGATGAATTACTCTCAAAGAGGTTTTCCAAGTTTCGTCCTCATACAAAATCCCAATAGGTTCAGTTTCATCATCTTGTTGGTGACGTCTCTTTGTGTTAAACACTTCATATTTGATTATTAAAATCGCAGCTGTTATAATAACAATGAGGACCCATGATCCACAAAGGAAGAACCTCCAATTCAACCAGTAACTCAGGGATGTTGTATCATCCATCAGTAGTCTCTGTAAATCGATGTTCCTGTTCATAAAGCTGTATGATTACAAATTCTAGCTTAATCGCCTAATTGGCTAAGGATCCGAATAACTTCTGTTTCACACCAAACGTCTAAATGATAATGAACCACCATGTTTGAGGTGGTAGTAGAACAGACACCAAATTCAGTGCATTTAAACTAATACCAACTAAGAAAGCAAGTAAACAAACCACATAGCATGAATATGTCAGAAAACCGCAGCGATGTGTGCGATAGATATCGAAGCAAAACTCCGTCAACAGCGAATTGCAGTTCAATAAAATGAAATTGAAAACGAATTCATCATTGTGAAAAATAGATTATACAATTACAAATATACATAAGTATAAATCTAGATATCTATATCTAAAATCAATGAGAAATCAGGTCAACTTAAAGAAATCATACCTGGAGGGAACTCGAGAACTGATTACTTATGTACCTGCGTTAGTTCATGGTTATCGATCTTCCACTGTTATGTTGTGATCACGGATCAGGAGCAAGGAGATTTGGGATTGGAAGAAAAATGCGACTAGCTTTTGCATAATTTGCAGTTAGTTGTTAATACCGAGACGATGCTCAACGAAATTTCATTTGGACCTTAAAAAATAAATGAAGGGAAATTAAATAATATAACCATATTTAATTGTATTTGAAGAAATAACAATTGTTTATAACAAAAATAACCGTTTAGGTCGAAATGTTATATTCCGGATAAAAACACTTTTTTTTTTTTGAGAAAAAAAAAATTCAAATTAATATTTTGGAATTTCGGACCAATATTTTGGATTCCGGAACAACTTAACATTCTAGATTCTGGAATTTCGAAAAAAAAACTTTGAAATTTCAAAAACAAATTTGAAATCCAATTAACAATTATGAAATTTTGAGAAAAAATTCATTTTTTATTTATATGTAACAAAAAGTTAAACAAATATAATAAATATGAACTATATACGATATCAATGCATAAAATCAGATATTTACTGAAAAACGGTGACGTTAAACACTTTAAAAATGGATATTTCATACATAAATAGAGATATCTCCTTAAAATATATATATAAAAAAATAAAAAAATATCTTCGAAATTTGAAGATAAAATTCGAAATTGAGCATTCGGGAGTAAATGCCTACTTAGACACCTCGAAATGGACATTTCATTTAATTGAAAAAAAAAAACAAGAACTTCTAAATATTAACAAAATGAGGATTCGAAAGAAATTGTTATTTTTTTTTTTAAAATCTTATTTATAATGTAAAAAGATAAAATGTAACGACTCAAAAATCACAACAAATTTATACTTTTAAAAACAATCCATAGTCATAAAATGTTTACAAAATCATCGTTTCCAAATTGTTTATCCATATAAGAGTATCCCAAAATCATAAAGTCATAAACAGAGGATGTATACGGTTACGTCTTCGCTTTCCCGCGATCATCAGAAGTACCTGAAACAACAACTAAAAATCGAAGTCAAATCTTAATAAGTTCCCCCAAATCATCAACACACAAACAAATAACATATACAACATCATGTCGGGTCCAATCAACTATTAGGTTGGAATGCCCCAAACCCATTCAACCTCTGGGTCTAGCCATCATCAGGATGGAATACCCTAGTTTGGAATGCCAATATATAATGGGTCAACTCAGTCATCGAACTGGAATACCCTCAGGCCCTCAGTACGAATCTGGTATGTTAACCAGCTCTCGACTCGTATCTGGAATGCTGTCGGACCCTAAGTACGAGTTTGGCATGCCAACCGGCCCTCAGCTTATATCTAGAATGCTCCCGAGTTTGTTGGCTATAACATGAAACAATACAACCTCAATCCAACACAATATATCGATATATAATAGATAACAAAAATAAGCAACAGACATATAATCATGCATATAGAATTCACAGATAATCCTACAGATCTACCATTTTAAGCATATCAGCAACTAGCATATAATCATGCAGATATATCCCATACTCAACATATCAATATATAGCAGGATACCAATCCAATAGGCCAGCCTTGGTGCCTTCGACCCATAAGTACAGTGAGGAAAACTCACTTCATAGTATGAACAATAGATGATGAGGTCACGACTCCAAATCTTAGCTCTAACCGTCACCTATTCATCCAAATGGCCAATTCTCAAACACCATTCAAAATACCCAAAATACCCCCTTGGTTAAACTTGGTCAAAGTCAAGGTCAAACTGGTCAAAATCAACAAGTCAACTAAGTCACCAACCGAGTTAATCCAGCTGAGTCGACACAAAACACATATATGGGGTGTACTCCAAAGGTACGCGGGGAGTACCCAAACCTTGTCCGCAAATGGGAGAGGTCACCTCGTACGCGCTGCATACACAGGTTACGTAAGGTGTAGGCCCAAACTTCTCAAAACTTCATTAAGAGCTTAATGCCTTAAGTTCTTATGTCTAACTTTCAGATCCAAGGCTAAATCATCCTCAAATAGTCATAAAGTTTCTAAGGAAGGAGGCAATCTTCACGTACGCCCCAGCGTACTAAGGCACGCCCTAGTACGCTTAGTGTACACACGTAAGCTCAGCGTACTCCCAAAGTCCAAATTTACCAAGGTGTCACTATGAGCCTCTTTGCACTTTTTCTTTTACATATGGACCAAAAATGCAATATAATTCAATTACATGGTTAAAATTAGAAGTACCTTATCATTGAGATGTTACATAAAACCACATAAAACTTTTTTCACGTTAACCTTGTTTAATCTTTATTTATTCCCTTAAAATATGTTTAAATTTTAATGTTGATGTTGAAAGGTAAAACCACATAAAGATTTCTATGTTTTTTTTTAAAAAAATATATATATAAATTACGGTTTTATCGTAAAATCATTTTTTTATGATAAATTGAAACTTGTATTTTTTTTTCTTGCATATATTTCATTTAGCAAGTTTTCTCATTATTAACCGGTTACCGTTGTTGATGTAACAAATATAAGTTAATTTAGACACGTATTATTTCTAAAGCTTTTCTTGGTATTTGTTTACTCACTAGGTGTAAAACTCATATATTACACAAGTTCATTTAAAAGAAAAATTAAATATGAAATTCTAAACATTTGAGAAGTTTTAATTTTAAGAAAAATTATGAAAAAAAAATATCAAATTATTAAAATTAATGTGTTTTTTTTTTTAAATTTAAACAAATAATTTAGATAAATAAAAAAAAGGAAAACCAATGGGGTTTTAACTTAGAAAATTTGAAATTAGAAGGAAAATCAATTAATGAAATTGATATATATATATATATATATATATATATATATATATATATATATATATATATATATATATATTACAATTATTATATTTAAATATTATGTTGGATTTGATAAAATAGAAAAAACCACAAAATGTCATGTGGAAAAAATTTAATTGAAAATAACCACAAAATGACATATGATCAAAACAATAAGAATGTAACAAGTGACAAAAAAAAATATTTATTTATTAGGGAGGATTTATTATATATATATATATATATATATATATATATATATATATATATATATATATATATGGTTAGGTTCATGTGAGACGACCTAATTTTGTGAGACCGTGAGACGCATTTTTTTATATTTTTTTATTATTTTTTATTATTTTTAGTTAATTCAAGTTCCGAAAATAATATTTAATTTTTTTTTAGATTTTTCTATAGATTTTGGATTTTAAAATTATTTTTTAGAATATGTACAGTGTAATATTCTATTAGATTATTTCACGTATTTAAAAAAAAACGAGATTTTTTTTTATTATTTTTATTTTTTTTAGTTAATTTAAGTTCCGAAAATAATACTTAAAAAAGAGTTTTTTGATTTTTACATTTATTTTGCATTTTGAAATTATTTTTTAGAATATGTCAGTGTAATATTTTATTAGAATATTTCATGTATTTTAAAAAAAAAATGGGATTTATTTTATTTTTTTTAATTAATTCAAGTTCCGAAAATAATATTTAATTTTTTTTTTAGATTTTTTCATTTATTTTGAATTTTAAAATTATTTTTAGATTTGATTTCATGGTCTCACAAAATTAGAATGGTCTCAAATGAACTTAAATATATATATATATATATATATATATATATATATATATATATATATATATATATATATATATATATATTTCCGGTGGAAAGTTCTAAAGCATGAAACTTCTTTTGTGCTTATTTTTTTTACTATCTTGTTTATGACATTGGACCCTTGGAACTCTAAAATGAAAAAAGATTTTGTTTTGAGTATAGAGAATTTGGGTTGGAAAATTTAGAATCACATTCATTACATATTTTGGTTTGGTTTTGAATTTGTTAGCTTTTTACCGCCATATACATTGTATAAATAAAATGGTTATAAAAATATTTTTGAGAGTTTGACTTAGAAATTAGATTATTGACATCATCCAATTCCATTCCAAAGTCTCATTTATAGGCATTTCACTTATCTTTTAGAGTTATAACAACTCGTTTGACTTATTACATGTGAATTACATATTTTGGTTTGATTTTAAATCGGTTAGTTTCTTATCACTCATTTAGTGGCCACATAGCAAGCAAGGGTACATATCTTCTCTTCTAATAAAAAACTCCTTAGGATGCCATATGTCCAATTTCTAAAGTTATATTATGCCACGTGGCCTTCTTATATGCATCAAGTTTTCATTTTCCCGCTCATTCCTAAACCTCTTCTTCTTTGACATAATTCAGTACAATCAATAATTGTTTAAATTTTAAAACTTTCCATGTTGAATCCAAAAAATTAGCCATATAATCAACGATGGTATTCTTTTAACTCCTCTCTTATTAAAACCCTAATATGTCCGCCACCCTAATCAACTCCCCTTTCTCTTTCTCTCTCTCCCTCCCAATTCTAGCCCATTCACCACAACCATTTTCGCCGTCGACTTTTTTCACCACCATCTAACACAACGGTAATTTGTTGTTGTTCTTATTCTACGACAGCCGATCTACATTATATTATTAAAAACGTCTCCTAAAATCTTTTTTTGTTGATTTCTTGAATCTTCCATTGAATTAATCGACAGTCTCTTCAGTAGTAACAAAACCAAGTAGTAACAAAACCAACTGGGTTTTTTAGTTTTAGGGTTCCTCAACGTTTTTAGTTTTATGTTTGTTTCAGTCAGTATATATATATATATATATATATATATATATATATATATATATATATATATATATATTCTTCAGGTGGTGTGAGAACCGCTTTCTTGATGTGCGTTGATAAGTTTGGTTCGTTTTATTTTCAAGGTTTTTGGGCTTCAAGCGTTTTCTCATATATTTTCAATTACAATTGATCATGTTCATCCAGGGGATGATCGGAGTATCCTTTAGAATGATTCCTTCTTTGTGCCTTCTCACTAAAAAGGACCTGGTAAGTAACAAAGCAACTTATTAATCCAATAAGAAACACCCATATCTTTGTTTTATATGAAAGAAAAAATTATCCTCCTTGATTTGATTGTAATAACTGATATTCTTTACTACCTATTTTAGAATCATTTGCTGGTGTAATCCTATCATGTAAAGTATTTTTCAAGTTTCTCTCCTTGATTTGATTGCAACCATTGATT